TTTTTTTTTTTTTTTCAATTTGCTTTTCTCACTCAACTAATTGCGTGAAGTCTGATTCGATGGCTCTCTCACTCTCTGTCGCCTTCTATGAATTTCGTTTCATCTACATCAAGAGAAGAAGAAGAAAACAAAAAGTGAATTCAAACAGAGACGAACTTTGGATTCAGCTTGCGTTCGAGAGCAAACAGCCGACCACCGTAGCAAAAACCCGTCGAACCGTACATCTTTTGCTTGGTGCGACGAGATTGTTTAGCGAAATGTAGGAAAATATGACTGTAGGAGTAATAGTATATATTTTCCAAAATTGCGTCGATTGAACTTCAGCGATGAACGAAAATTAAAAAGATCGATGTTCGAGGCATCGTGTACTGTGCGAAGATGGACGGTTCGTCGACGAAATTCGTGTATCAGCCAAATCATTAGGTGATGGAGAGTAGAAGAGACCAAGGAACAGACGACCGATTAATTGTAACAGTTTACGTATTATTACAGGTGCCAGACTGTGCGAACTGTGCTTGTAACAATGCGCTTGAAAAGCGCGGCGGCCGTCAGTGCATTTTTGCGAATCGATCTTCTTGCCCGGTCATCTTACCTTCTCTCGAAATATAAACTCAATCATATCGCAATATGATTATGAGTATTTGTCCCTCGTTACTCCGTGAAAATATATCCGTTTATATAAGTATATGTGAAAATTAACACAAATCAGCTAACGAACAAATTTAGTTACACGTTCATGAAGTTGCTTTTCCATAATATGTGAAAAGAGTAAATGAAACTATGAAATAAGTCTAAATGTCGAGAGAAGTAAGTTTCGTATCTACTGGAACAATTTCTTTCAAGAATTTTTCTCATGTAACAGAAATAGTATGAATCGAATTCAGTAAGTGTATATATTTCACTTCGTGTTTAACTAGTCCGTTATCAGTAGATACCTTTTCGATAAGCGTATGAGAAGCAGGTGCGATTATTCGACAGCCGATATTACGCGAAAGATACAAAGAAAAAAGAGAAGTATTAAGCTCGTAAATTAAAAGAATTTACTTGTTCTTTTGCGATTAAATGAATGAAAAAGGATACGTTTGAAAATCGCGTGAGCACACGTTTAACACTCTGCACCCCAATTTCTTGTTGCAACAAACACAGTTCTTTGCTTTGTTTTGTTAGATTCGGGGTACCAACCAACAGCGATTAAAAAAAAAAAAAAAAAAAAAAAAAAAAAAAAAAAAAAAAAAAAAAA